GGCGGGGGGCAGGCAGGGGCGTGGCAGCGCCCGGGACACGAGTGTCCTGGTGGACAAAAACGCCCCTTCACTCTGCAGTAGCTGTGGTGCTTAAGGAAAAGCCCGGCCTGAGGCGGGACACACTGCCTGGCGCACAGAGCCCTGTAGGCTGTTAACAAACCTCCCGGGGAAGCAGAAACCTGACGTTTACGAAGTTTTTTATTTATCGATTGCTCTGAGCCAGCAGGAGTAGCCTGTTCCTCCTAATGTAGAAGCAGTTCTGGAATTTGATTTTTGTCAAGGTAAACGCAGATGCAGCCACCGTAGGGACTCAGGGCCTGGGCCTGCGGCCTGCTTGCTGCTGGGTGGGCAGCCGGTGGCGTCAGCACCACGGACAGCGCCGGGCCTGGCCCTGGCCCTGGCGTCCAGGCCAGCCCGGGGGCGGGGGTGGGGGCTGTTCTCTGCGGCTGGCTGTGGTGGCCTGGCAGCTCCGTGTCACCAAAGCAAACCCCAGCTCCCCTGGCCTTTTAAAAGCCACAGCTTAGCTTGTTGGTGAGGAAGAGGCGTGAGCAAGAGTCAGAGTGCAGCCTGTCCTCGGATGCTTCCTCTTGTAAGGTTCGGCTGGTGCCAGGCCCCTATTAATTCTGGGTAGTTCCAGGAGAACCAGCCAGTTATTTTGCTTAAAATGTCTTCCCCCCTGCTCAGTAAGAGCTGAATGTGAGAACAGATCTTAATAGATATAGTTACACAGTTTATTCTATCATGTATCACTTTATTGCTGTCTTCTAGAACATTGTTATACTAAATGTTCCAATAATGGAAATTTTATGCAGCTACTTCAAATGAAACAAATTTGCAAAAACTCAATTTTGGAACGAACTCCTTGGGGAGAGGAAAAAACCTCACCGCTGTGACCAAATTAGATCTCTGAGGTGTTGGCGACGCCTCAAACATGGCCCTGCCCGGAAAAGGGGTGTGGGGTCCGGTGGGGTGCCGGGCCTCCGGGCGAGTGTGGGCGCTAACACGACGGAACGGCCAGTGTCCCGGGCATGCCCTGGCCATACCCAGGTCACGCGGGTTTCGTTCTGGGCCTGAGGCCGGCCTGCGTGGGGGGGGCCTGGCTGGCGGCTGGCACGGAGTCGCCTTTGCAGGAACTTGACTGACCCCTCGGCGCTGTCGTGTTACTTACTGCAGCTCTTTGTTTTGCAGAGATCATGCCGCGGCCGTCCTTTTGGATTTCTTTTTAATAATGTGTGACCCTTCACCTTTGATCCCCTGACCTGCATTGCCTTGGTAACCATTTCATTTTTTTATTTAATTTCATTTTTTACTTTTGGTGTACAAGCTGTAACATTTCATCTCTCAAAAGTGTAACACGCTGGTTTCCTCAAATAGAGGTACCCCTTTGAGTGATAAATTTGCAAAATGCTGTCTTCATTTTCTGTATTAAAATTCATTTCAGTTTTTGAAATAAAGTGTAACCTGTGTGTTCGTCCTCTTGAGATTAAGTCGAATGGATGCATTCTCATGTAGAGCAGTGCCCTCTGTTATGTTTTGCAGCAACTGAATGAACTGGTGTTCCCAGGGGCTCCGGCCCGGCCCGCCCGCCCCGCCCCCCCACCCCCCAGACCAACTGGTCTTCCTGGCAGAAACGGTGGCAGCTTGAGTTCATTCGTCTGTGCTGCCACACTGCAGTCGGGCACGTCCCGCACTCCCAGGCGCCTTCACAGAGGCTCAGCCCTTAGTTTTATTCAGGGGCTAGAAGACAGGGAAATTGCCTGAGTTCCAAAGTTCCCCTTTCCCTCTCCCTTAATGTCCTTCCTTGAGGCGTAAATTAAGGTGAGCCTCACTTCCTGTGGGCCCGCTCCCTGCACCCTCGCCACCTTCGGGCCCCCGTCTGCCTTGGGCCCCCGTCCCCCCACCCCCAGGCCCCCGTCTCCTTTGGGCCCCTGTCCCCCAACCCCCAGGCCCCGTCTCCCCCACCCTCAGGCCCCTGTCTATCCTACTCACCGGCACCCTTCTAACCCACCCTGGGACCCCGGTCTACCCCACACTCGGCCCCGTCTCTCCGTACCCTTGGGTGCCCTCATCCCCCTCTACCATTGGGCGCCCCCCGTATCCCTTTACCTTCGGGGCCCTGTGTCCCGTCTCGCCCACCCTTGGTCTCCCTGTGCCCTAGGCCACTGTTCCCCTGTACCATTCGGCCCTGTGTCCGCCACCCTCGGGCCCCTCCTTGTACCCTTGGGACCCCTGTCTCACTACAACCTTGGGCCCAGTCTCCCTGCGCCCAAAGGCCCCATCTCCCTGCACCCTCGGGCCCCGTCTGCCTGCACCCTCGGGCCCCGTCTCCTTGCCACCTCGGGCCCCGTCTCCCTGCGCCCTCGGGCCCCGTCTCCCTGCACCCCTGGGCCCCGTCTCCCTGCACCCATGGGCCCAGTCTCCCTGCACCCACAGCCCCTGTCTCCCTGCCCCCTCGGGCCCCGTCTCCCTGCGCCCTCGGGCCCCGTCTCCCTG